TGTAATCGCTGCATGCAACAACTGCGTCAGTCTGCTGCTGCTGCTGTGCTGCTGCTGTGCTGCTGCTGTGCTGCTGCTGCTGCTGTGCTGCTGCTGCTGCTGCTGCTGCTGTGCTGCTGCTGCTGCTGCTGCTGCTGCTAATGTGCGCAGGTTTCCAGTTTTTACAGGCGGCATTCGAAGCTGCTGCTCAGCTGCTGCTCTTCAGGCAATCGGTGTGTCTACAGCAGCAACACCAGCAGCAGCAACACCAGCAGCAGCAACACATGCAGCAGCAACACATGCAGCAGCAACACCAGCAGCAGCACCACCTGCAGCAGCAGCGGCACTTGGGTAAAGGCAGGCTGATGAGCATTTATGAGATTGACAATACTGCTGTTGCGCTTCCTGCTGCTGCTGTTTTTGCTGCTGTTGCTGTTGCTGCTGCTGTTGCTGCTGTTGCTGCTGCTGCTGCTGCTGCTGCTGTTGCTGCAGGTGCTGATGCCCCACATGGACGTGTTTTTGTCTGTGGCTGCTGCGGTGCTGCAAGTTGAGGTGGAGGTGCCGCGTCTGCGGATCCCAAGGTCTTTGATTAGGGGTACGGTGCTGCTGCTGCTGCTGCTGCTGCTGCTGCTGCTGCTGCTGTTGCTGCTGCTGCTGCTGCTGCTGTTGCTTTGCTGTTGCTGTTGCTGCAGCAGCTGCTGCTGCTGCTGTTGCTGCTGCTGCTGCTGCCGTTGCTGCTGCTGCTGCTGCTGTTGCTGCTGCTGCTGTTGCTGCTGCTGCTGCTGCTGTTGCTGCTGCTGCTGCTGCTGCTGATGGTGCTGCTGTGGCTGCTTGTTGCTTGCTGCAGCAACACTTTCCTTTTTGTACTTAACATGCACAGCCCCCCCGCGGCTGCTGCTGTCTTCTCTGGAGGCGCTGGTGGAGGTGCATGCGACAGCAGCAGCAGCAGCTGCTGCTGATGCTGAGGAGGATACAGCAGCAGCAGCAGACGGCAGCAGCGACCCTGCTGCTGATGCTGCTGCTGCTGTCGTCGGGGTATCGAAAGCTGCTGCAGCAGAAGCAGCAGCAAAACTCTTCTTGACGCCACTGCTGAGATACATCAGACACAAAATGGTAATGCTGCAGCACCATCTGCTCTGCTGCTGCTGTTGCTGCTGCTGCTGCTGTTGCTGCTGCTGCTGTTGCTGCTGCTCCTGCTGCTGCTGCTCCTGATGCGGCTGCTGGCAATGCTGTTAGTGCAGCGCCCGCTGTAGCAGCTGTTGCTGCTGCTGATGCTGCTGCTGCTGCTGCTGTTGCTGATGTTTTTGCTGCATCTGCTGCTGCTACTGTTGCTGCATCTTCAGCTGCTGGTGTTGCTGCTGATACTTGCTGCTGCAGCAGCTGCTATATGGTTTCTAGGTGATCTCCGTTGCTGCTGCTCCCCCACCTCCTGCTGCTGCTGCTGCTGCTGCTGCTGCTGCTGCTGACTTGTGCTGCAGATGGAAGCAGCACGTCTGTCTGCCCAGGAGGAGCTGGCGGAGGTCATCGGGCCCGCATGCACGGGTTCTGCTGCTTCAGCAGCAGCAGCAGCAGCAGCAGCAGCATCTGCTTCGCACGAATTCAGCAACAGCAGCAGCAGCAGGCTGCCGGACTGCTCAGCTGCAGCAGGGGCCTCGCATGCAGCAGCAGACATGCAGCCTGCTGCTGCAGCAGATGCTTGGCTGCAGCGCGGTGCTGCTGTTCGTTTGACTCGATCTACAACTCCACGTCTGCCGGTGCAGCAGCAGCTTGCTGCTGCTGCTGCTGCTTCTTCTGCGCTGCTGCCAGCAGAGGAGAGGCAGCAGATAGCAGCTGATGCAATTGCTGCTGCTGCTGTTGCAGGGCTGCGAGGCAGCAGCAGCAGCAGCAGCAGCAGCACAACGCATGCACGACCCCACACCACCGCCGTGGAGGCGCTGGAAGAGACAGTGTGCCGCCTGCTGCCGTGCAGAGACACCCGGGGGCCGCGTTCTGCTGCTGCTGCTGCTCTGGACCCCCTGGTGACGCAGCAGCAGCAGCAACTGCAGCAGCAACTGCAGCAGCAAAAGCAGCAGCAGCACTTCATGCAACAGGCGCAGCACCAACAACAACCCTTCGTGCATGCCACCCAGCAGCACCCGCAGCAGCACCAGCAGCAGCACCAGCAGCAGCAGCAGCAGCAGCAACCGCAGCAGCTGCTGCAGCCGAGGGATACGCACGAGGCCTGTGTTCAGCTTGGGGGGCCGCTGCAGCCGGCAGAGGAGCAGCAGCAAGACAGACAGCTGCAGCAGCAGCTGCTGCAGCAGCAGTACTCTCTGGAGCAGCAGCAGATGACGCCGCAGCAAACGGCAATTCTGCAGCAGCAGCTGCCGATGGGGGTGGCGCAGCAGCACCTGCAGCCAGCACCTCAGCATCCGCAGCAGCCGCAGCAGCAGCACATGCAGCCGCCGCAGATGCAGCAGCAGCATCGGCATCCGCAGCAGCAGCAGCCACACATCCAGCCGCAGCAGATGCGGCAGCAGCAGCTGCATCCCCAGCAGCAGCATATGCAGCCGCAGCGTCAGCATC